TGGCTGGCCTTGCTGACCAAGGGGCCCATTCACACCAGACGCTGCTCTAAATCACACAGCATTAGATGTGCAACGCCCCGGCACAGTGCCGAAGCGTGTGTACTTGTTGTTTGTTAGAACTTTATCGAAATGTCAAAAGTGACATTTCATTCAGTTCTACTGGCACAGCGGGCTGCGAGTCAGTTGTACCCTGTTGCATCCTGCGGCGCTAAAAAAAAGTACAGCATGCCCTACTTTTTCTCAGAGCACACCACCGCGTTACCATCGCAGTGCGGTGGTGTGAACCGAGCCCATTTGTGAGAATGCAAATTGCCTTGTTTTGCGTTAGCGCTGCACTATAAACAACGGCCAGCGCAGCTCTAACGCAGATGGTGTGAATCAGAGGCTCAGGAATTGAAGGGGATGGGTTTAAGCATTTTTACAGACAATGCACATTCATTTCAATTGCCATTACTCGTTATCATATGCTCAGTTTAAACGGCTTACTTTATAGGAGCACAAGAATAACAGAGCAAGGTAACTAAAAGTGAACCAAGCGGAAACGGAAAAAATTACACCAGTGCTGCAGACTTGAGACCCAAAGCTCTCATAGCCAAAGAGGATCTGAAGAACAATGGGAACTGTAGTATCCGGCTTAAAGAAAAGTATTATTTACATGTACAGTGCGGTGATCCTTAGCAGAGGTAACGTTTGTTTACATATCAGAACTTACCAAAATCTCTGTGCCTGTAGCTCTGCTTTAAAGTCCAGCCAAAACGCTTACCTTTTTTTGGGATAGAGCGGGGAACACTTACAGCTTTTTTCAGACTTTTATTTCTATCACTGTCTCAATGACAATCCCCCTTCCCGCTCCCCCAATTTTTTGGAACGCCATTCCAAGTAAAGGAAGTTTAGAAAAAATTTCTCTAGTGGGGTTACAGACAGATGAAAACCTGACAAATTTTTACCGGTTCTTAAATATATCCAAAACATTGTCTGGAATTAGGTTTTAAAGAAAATCTGCCCTGAGATAATTATTGGGATGAGGAGCCTCTCACTTAGAAAAGTGGAAGGCATGCGGTGACCCGCTGAACACGGGGTCACGACCCACCATCAACCCCAAATTGAACAGAAGGATAGTGTGAATGGTAGAAATAAACAAAGGAAAACGTCCAAAGAGATACAAGCTGAACTCCACGATCAAGGTTTATCAGTGTCTGATCACACCATCCACAGGAGGACTCCACTGTTGAAAGAAAAACATAGACTGGAAATTGCTAAAAAGTATATTGACAAGCCACAATGGTTTTGGGAGAATGTCTTTTGGACTGATTAGACAAACCTGAAGCTTTTTGGCTCTATATTCACAGATGAAAAGATGAAGCTTTCAAAGAAACAAACACCGAACACAGTTTCGAGTCTGTTTTGGCACAAAACGCTGCATTTGGCACAAGGTGGCTTAAATCTTTGCAGATCACAACAAAATGTCAAGACTACCAAGGAATTCTGGAGTGAAACATACGGTCAGAAAGCTCTCTGTGTCAGTTCTAGTTAATGGGTCCTCCAAAAGGAGAATGACCTAAAACACACGGCTAAAATCACCCAGGAATGGCTAGGAACAAAACATTGGACTCTTGTGAAGTGGTCTTCTATGAGCCCTGATCTGAATTCCATCAAAAGAGCTGAAACAAGAGTGAGCCAAACTACCTGCTGGCAGGTGCAGAAATCTCATTAAGAGCTACAGAAATTACTTGTTTTGCAGTCATTGTTTACGATAATGGAATAAACAATGATGGATGCCAATTACTTTCGTCAGTTCATGGTATTTCAGAGAAAATTGGTCGGTTGTTCTTTCTTCATGGTAGGGTACCAACACATTTTTGCACGTCTGTAGATGGGAAGTGTGTTACCTACCAAATAATTACTGATGAAATGCACTCAGTCTTGTGATTCACCTTCCCCTACTTGGCCCTGTGACTGGAAAGCAGAGGGTGGTGAGCATACTGAGGCATATTGACTGCACTGCAGAGGAGAGGTGAGCGTACTGAGGCATATGACTGCACTGCAGAGGAGGGGTGAGTGTACTGAGGCATATGACTGCACTGCAGAAGAGGGGTGAGCGTACTGAGGCATATTGACTGCACTGCAGAGGAGGGCTGAGCGTACTGAGGCATATGACTGCACTGCAGAGGAGGGGTGAGCGTACTGAGGCATATGACTGTGCTGCAGAGGAGGGGTGAGCGTACTGAGGCATATGACTGCACTGCAGAGGAGAGGTGAGCGTACTGAGGCATATGACTGCACTGCAGGGGAGGGGTGAGCGTACTGAGGCAAATTACTGTACTGCAGGGGAGGAGTGAGCGTACTGAGGCATATGACTGCACAGCAGAGGAGAGGTGAGTGTACTGAGGCATATGACTGCACTGCAGAGAAGGAGTAAGCATACTGAGGCAAATGACTGCACCGCAGAGGAGGAGTAAGCATATTGAGGCATATGACTGCACTGCAGGGGAGGAGTGAGCGTACGGAGGCATACGACTGCACTGCAGAGGAGGGGTGAGTGTACTGAGGCTTATGGCTGCACTGCAGAGGAGGGGTGAGTGTGCTGGAGGCATATGACTGTGCTGCAGGGGAGGAGTGAGCGTACGGAGGCATATGACTGCGCTGCAGAGGTGGGGTGAGCGCACTGAGGCATATGACTGCACTGCAGGAGAGGTAAGTGTACTGAGGCATATGACTGCACTGCAGAGGTGAGCGTACTGAGGCATATGACTGCACTGTAGGGGAGGGCTGAGCGTACTGAGGCATATGACTGCGCTGCAGGAGGAGAGGTGAGCGTACTGAGGCATATGACTGTGCTGCAGGGGAGGAGTGAGCGTACGGAGGCATATGACTGCGCTGCAGAGGTGGGGTGAGCGCACTGAGGCATATGACTGCACTGCAGGAGAGGTAAGTGTACTGAGGCATATGACTGCACTGCAGAGGTGAGCGTACTGAGGCATATGACTGCACTGTAGGGGAGGGCTGAGCGTACTGAGGCATATGACTGCACTGCAGAGGAGGGGTGAGTGTGCTGGAAGCATATGACTGCGCTGCAGAGGAGAGGTGAGTGTACTGAGGCATATGACTGCACTGCAGAGGAGAGGTGAGCGTACTGAGGCATATGACTGCACTTCAGAGGAGGGGTGAGTGTACTGAGGCATATGACTGCACTTCAGAGGAGGGGTGAGTGTACTGAGGCATATGACTGCACTGCAGAGGAGAGGTGAACGTACTGAGGCATATGACTGCACTGCAGAGGAGGGGTGAGTGTACTGAGGCATATGACTGCACTGCAGAAGAGGGGTGAGCGTACTGAGGCATATGACTGCACTGTAGGGTATGGGTGAGGGTACTGAAGCATATGACTGCACTGCAGAGGAGAGGTGAGTGTACTGAGGCATATGACTGCACTGCAGAGGAGGATTAAGCGTATTGAGGCATATGACTGCACGGCAGAGGAGGAGTGAGTGTACTGAGGCATATGACTGCACTGCAGAGTTGAGCATACTGGGCTGTATGACTGCACACAGGGGGAGTTCGAGTGTACGGGGCCATATGAGTGCATGGCAGAGGAGAGGAAAGTGTGCAGAGCCATATGATTTTACAGCAGAAAAAAGGTGAGCGTAGTGGCACCACACAGCAGGGGAGGGATGAGAGTTGCCAGCTCTGCGAGACTTGCACTCAATATAGGCGCTCTCTTCTCTTAGACTAAGCACTCCTCCTTTCCACCCACCAACATAGAAAACTTGTACTGCAAGCCTGATGTCTATGTTAAATCAGCATTTGGCAGCTAAATATGAAGATAGTTTTTAGGTAACTAAATTGGTTGAACTAAAGAGAATTATTTCATGATTGAGAGAAGATATCGGCAAACTAAAGGTTGTTTTTGTAGATTTGCCTGGAGCTGTTTTTAATGGCAGCAAAAAGCACTGCACTTAAATTAAACCACAGATTGGCAATTTGTTTCTGTAACTGCATTTTAATGATGCACTGCTTTTTATTGGAGCACCTTAATTAGCATAAGAAGAAAATTTGTTGTATGTGTCCTGTTCACTCTTCCTATAAAAGCTACGGAATCTTTTCATCAATTCTTGTATAAACTTTATAGCCAATCTGTGCTTTGCCCATACAAGGCAAAGCAAACTTTAAAGGCAATCCCACCAGAGGCAAAGATGCCCTTTTTCTTTGCTCACCTGCAGCTCCGTTTGCCCTCCAGGATTAAACAAAAAGTCATGGGGGGCATGTGACTTAGAGCCATCCACAGCAACTAGAGCTGATTACCATTTTTCTGAAGGAGATCTGACAATGGACAGAGAAATCTGATTGGTCACACGGTTTTCCTTTTATAGGAAGCCCCCATGAAAACACATCATGAAATAAAAAAAATGCAATTGCAGTAACACCTTAACCACTTATTTGACAGTCCACATTTTAATGACAGGTTAGCGTTTACTTATGTTCTGAACAATAGTGTGCAAATTTTCCATGCTAACGTATCAGTAAACTTGATTTCTTTTAGTTCCACACATTAAAACAGCAGCTTTTATTCAACCACACTATGGCAGGAGTGGTATTTTGGCCAGCGTTCTTAAAAAATAAAATTATAGTTAATTGTATAAAAATGCCTTCAGTTCCACCATTAGAAGTTTAGGAGGCAATCTTCACAGCATTGTAACATCCTGAAAAGTAGAGAATGAGGTGAGTCCAGATGAGAGACAAGTTTTTTTATCAATGTCCTGCAATGTAAGACAGACCCAGTCCACCAATATCTGCAGATGAACAAGAATGAATCCCGGCAATGGTCTAATGACGATGTGAAGTCACATACCAACAATTTCTGAAATTGACACATGGGTGGCCCCAAAGAAGGAATACTATCTTGTTTTATTTTTTTAGTATTTCCCGAACCAAATGAAATCGACATTTCACTTAAAAAGAAGTCTGTAAATAATAATGTTAACATATCATCACACAAGTGCTTTTTTTCTGATAGTGGCATATGAAATGGGGACATTGGGTGTTATGAATCATTAGTATGGGATATCTTCTTCCATAAAAGGGCTTTTAGATTGTTTAAAATTAATGAATGTTGCATCTCCATGTTATTTGTAGCAGCTTTAAGGGCAATGCAGGAGTAGATCTGTTTCTCCAGCTCATCTCGGATTTCAGAAGGGGTGCCCCGAAGCAGGTAGTCCTTAACTAGCAGGCATATTTTTGCTAAATTTGGTTGGGTTATGTCTGCAGTGCATCTCTTTTTGCTTTGGTCGCACACAGTGCTGCAGTCAGTACCATATACACAGTCAGCATCAACCTCACAAGGTCGGTCTTTGATTAATTCTTTCAAGTTCATTTCTGGGACAATGTTCCTCATGTCAACAACTTTCAAGTCATATTTGTCATTGTAACCAAAGTTTTTGGCACTTATGTCACACATAATAAAATTTCCATAGGGTCCATGGAAAATGTCTTCTACAAACTCTAGAAGACCTATGACTATCTTAGCCTTTCTTGGCCATGATGGAGTGAACCACTGGTCCATGCGTTTTCGTAGTCCTTGTGGAATAAATACTTCCATGATCCATGGTAGACTTATTCCATAGAGTGATGTGTATTGCACACGTTCTGTTATGTACATATCTCCACAAAAGCCAAGTAGTTTTGGAGTGTGTTCCTTGTCCTGCAAGATCACCATTAGTAGAAACTCATTTAGCTGTAGAAGTGCCCAGGCAGACTTGGCCTCTGGGAGTGACACATGTCCATCTTTATTACCATCTGCTGCTGCTAAGATTAGGTTTACTAGGTCACTGAGATTTCCTTGGTCACCTAATTTGGTCTAAAAATAAAACATAAAATTGTGTTACTTTTGGTGACATAAAATGACATTCTAAATTAGATGGAAACAATCACATTTTGAAGATCAAACTTCCCAATTAATAAAAGGTAAACTCTAATAAAGATTAAGCTTTTGAATTACAAGGTGAACACATCTTAACTGTTGAGCACTTGAGTTTTTCCAATTAGGCATAGTTGTAGTGCACTAGCCCACCCCATTCCCTTTTATCGGTAATCTGTTGACATGGGGACCCATTTTTACATATTCTTGATGCATGAGAATTTTACCCCCAACCCATGATAGGCTGATGTATATAAATATCATTGCTTAGCTACCAATTAGAGATTCAAAATTGCCATGGTAAATAAATATGGTGGTGGAATTGTTTTTCCTTTTTTAGGCTTTATTTTTGCAATCATTTTTGCCTGGTGAGTCTGCCAGTAACACGCTTACTGTCCTAATGTGACAATGCTTATTCACTGTACTGTATCTCAGGAGGACCAGTGTTGTCACCCTAGGACAAGGAGCGTGTTAAGACTTCAGAACGCCGCCCTCTCTCAATATCAAAGGAGTGGTGTTCCACTGTCCTAACACATCCTCATAACACTGCAGAGTACACCGGACAGCATTTGATTTCTGACATGATCAACTGGTGTTTTCTGTACTTATCAGATATAACCGAACACTTTCAATGGCATGTTTAACACACCCAATGGGAAAAAATAAGAGACGTTTATTGTGAGAATTTTCATAGACATTAATGTAAAATGTACTTGAAATTATTTATAAGATTTTATTGGCTTAATATTCCATATTTTCCTGATATTTCATATCCAGATTTGTAGGTGCTCCTGCTACCAGCTATCTCTAGGATTCCACAGTTGGCGCCTTAAGCCTCCGTTCACTGCTTTGCGAGGTGGGAGCACCCAAACGCACCTAGCCATCATATGTTCATTGTATTTCACCACATCGCATGGTAGCCTATTTTGCAATTATGCTAGCCATGTGATTTAAAAAAAAAATTGAATGCACTTTAGCTGCAGTAGGCAGTCCATTCAAATGAATGAGCTGCCCTATAGCCGGGCACCACAAGGTACCCTGCAGCAATTCTATGTCACATCACAAAGGTGTGAACGGGGATGAAGACGTTAAACATGGCTTTAGCAAGAATTTGTGAGTATTAAGGAGAGGAAATTTTCTTACAGTTAGCAGCTATTAAAATGCTTTATTTTCCATCACTTCCTCCTCATCATGAACATGGTGTTACGTACAGCAGATGTGTAACAATAAATGGCAGTGCTGCATACAAATCACTACAGGATCCCCTGGCTCTTTATCCTTTATATTAAAGTGGGCTTAACATTAAAATTCACACTTCACAAGAATAACTACTACTTATACCAGCATTACTGAATCACCTTATTATGTGATAAAAAAAAAAGCATCACAGTCATGCCATAATACAAAAACTGCTAATCCTGAACCCCCCAATGTGACTGGCACACATCTTAGAAGATCGAATAATATAGCAGCGATGTTAGAAGATCAAATAAGTCTCTGGATACCAGGATCATTTAGGCGTTTATTATTTACAAACTGGCAGACACTGTTTTGTAGACTTGCAGTAAGATATGTGTATCAGGTAGGGATGCGCCGATACTTGGCATTTTCATGAGGACTACCAGGGTTGCAGCTGGGACCTGGCTCTGGCGCTCCACCACTGTCCTCAAATCATTAGTCTGTATTGTTTTGGAAAAACTGTCACATGACAATAAACAAAAACGTATCAGTACTTGTATCTGTAAGTACTTAAGGACAAGTATCAGTTCTTGTGGAAATGGTAATTGTGCATCCCTTTCTATATGTTTATAAAAACAAAATCATATTAATAAGACCTAGTGTCTTTTTTCGTGAAAAAAATAAAATAAGACACTGTCTTATTTTCGGGGAAACACGGTAGTACTTGGTATCAGTGCATCCCTAGTATCAGGCAAGGCACAAAGTTCTGAAACACTACTGAGAAGGAAGCAGAACCTGCCTATGTAAAAACCAAATACAGCTCTATTATTCACATACATTAATTACAAAGTATAAATAAAACAAGCTTTTTAAAACCTTAGACATGGATAAGATTTCTTACACTGCACTAATCTTTCCCACGCGCTTGTCTCAAAAATATTTAAAAGACTATAGCTTCTTTCTAAAAGCAATAACTATGCTGATACTTTATGCGATTCTAAAACAACAAAATTAGCACTGCTGCATACTAATTACATTCACAGCTTTCCGACAAGGGTGCTTAAACATTCATTTTGTCATAAATTTGCCATATGCCTTTGATGCCTGTGGTTAAATCATTATACAGCCAGAATATACTGGTCTCCTTATCAGTTGTGTGTTTGTTTTATTATTGCATGCCTAGAAAACTCATATATACCGTTGTTACCCACCTAAGAATAGATTGTATGGGTTTTGCCCAATAAGGAACAGTAGAAGAATAATTAGTATTTTTAATACAATTATTAGCTTTCCCTTTGTTAAACTGTATGCCATAATTAGCTGTCAAACCTTCCACAGATCATTGTCTCGGTGAATCACGTCTGTGTTTTCCGTGTACATCTCTATGCAGTAAGCTCAGGACACAGGAGAGCAGCTGAGGATTGAGCTAAATGGTAATACCACAGTCTTTCTGAATATCACACTATCGATGACATAGATTTCTGTCAGTCTGATTACTAAACAGTTCTAAAGGCAAAACACATCAATAATTTTCTGCACTGCCAACTGTTTTCAGCACAGAATGGAGCTGACTTGCTACATAAGCTCTTGTTTCCAAAACAAAAGATTTTACCTGAAGGAAAGGACATGTTTTTAAAGGAATATTATTTAAAAAATAAAGTCTTAAAAATAATCTAGCAATTCAGCCTGTATGGCAAAAAGGCTTTGCCCAAAAAATATCCCAATAAGATGTAATATTATAAGATAGGACAGAAAATACTGGTGGAGAGAGGTTGTTAATGTTAGTCATTGCTCTGTATGTTTGGCCCTCTTCCAAGACCCACAGAAAATTAGCACATCGGAATAAGTGA